TTTATGCTGCTGTGAGTTTATAGTCAGTTGATTATTCATATGTATGTAAATTACAACAGATTTTTATACTCATATGGGATTTCCCCAACCAGCATTTTTTGACTGCCTTTTCCTACGATCAACTGTCATGTGTTTAGCAAATAGAAACTCATTTTGATGTAAAGATCAAACCCTTATATAACAGAGGGATTTCCAAGCAATGGTCCATAAGTTGGAGCAGTGGTGAATAGAATGAAATTCTCTTGTAGTAGGATCTAATGGAACGCTTAGAGTTTGTGGTAGTAGATTTTGAACTTAAGCAAAGTTCATAAGTACCATTACAAAGAAATATCCTGAAAACAGTTTCTATGTCCTGATATATGGACTGTGTTCGTGGTCTTTTATTGTATAGAATTATTTTTGTTGCAAATTCAACAAATACTTTGTTGAATACATAGCCATGTAATAGACGTTCTATAAGTTGAATGTATTAAGCTAATACTTCAAGAATCAGGGTTTCTTCAGTAGTTCCTACCTCTGCTAACATCAATCTTAACCCATCTATACCTTAATAAGTAGTTTTAAGAGAGTTGCTATGGGGAAAAAAATTTTTTTGTTATCATCCTGTGGCCAATCTAATGAACCTCTCTAGGCTCAGCTAGGCTGGTTCTTTGGGGCCAGACAATAATAGCTGTGCCTAGGTCTATAGTCATATTCTTTCCAACTTGATAGGACCTTTCAGAATCTGCATTCTGCTGTTGTAGCTTTTGTTATCCCACTTCTATGCTACCATGAAGCATCAAACTAGAACTTTGGGACAGGTAAGGCATTTGGGAAAAATTAATATGAAATATTTGTCTACTGATTAATCAGTAAACATTTATTTAATTGCTCAGTATGTGCCAAACACTGTGATAAGTGTTAGAGATACAAAGAAAGGCAAAAATAGTCTCAGCCCTCAGGCATACATTCGAATGGGGAAGACTCTGTGAGTGTGTGTGTCTGTGTCTGTCTGTGTCTGTGTCTGTGTGTGTATCTGTATGTATCTGTGTGTGTGTGTCTGTGTTTATCAAGCAATCGATCAACAAATATTTATTATTCTCCTGCTGTGAGCCCAGTCACTGGGGATATAAGTACAGAGAATAAAGCAATCCCTACTTGAATTGAGCTTATCTTATAAAGAAGACAGCAAGTTCATATAAAAAATTTATATAGCCAAAAAGGGGTTTCTGTCATACATTTAAAAAGTACAGCATAAATATAAATACATTTAACAAATACACATATCTCACAAAGTAGTTAAATGCAGTGTGTTTTGAGAGGGAGGATGATAGTATCTCTTATGATTTAAAACTGAGATAAGGAATATATCTTCTCAGACTGAGCTCTGAACACCAATCAGAAAGAATATTGGAAGAAAAACAAAATATTATCTTATATAATAACCTTTCCAAACTTGGAATACTATTCAAAGTTTTGGTTTCTGAATCTCAAAAATTGAGAGGAAAACAGCTAATATAAGAGAGATGGAGAAGATAGGTAAACAATTTTTAAATAACCCTTTAATTTTAGATTAGTAAAATTGTAGCCAAAATGTCCATTATCATGAATGAAATAAACATGAGAAATAAGGTAGACCAAATCTCCTTATATTCAGTTCGACAACTATGTCACCAACTATGTATGGAACATTTTGCTGGGCATTGGAAATACAAAAACAAAAATAAAACAATCCTTGCCATCTTAAAATTTATATTCAGCTAGAGTTGTCCAACATGTATACACATAAGTAAATACAAGGTAGTTTGAATATGTAGAGAGCGTTAACAACTGGGGGGAAAGAAAAGGCCTCACAGAGAAAATGGCGCCTGAGCTGAGCCTTTAAGGAAGATAAAAAATTCCGAGAAGTGGTTTTAAGAAGAGGGTACATTTGGGGCATGAGAGGCAGAATGCACAACTGCATAGAGGAGGAAGATGAAATGTCAACTTGAGGGACCAGCTAGCAGGCAGTTTGACTGGAACATAGAAGCCACTGAAGGATCTTAGCCAAAAAAAAAAAATGCTTCAAGATTACTTTAGGAGCTATTGTGTTTGTCTTTCTTTGTATCCCCAGAGTTTAGCACAGTTCTTTGAATGTAGTAAGTGCTTAATAAAGATTTGTTGATTAAGTGAATGGATATGAAAGAGCTAGAAATTCCCGTAGGGCTATTATAATAGTTCCAGGTGAAAGACAGTAAAGGGATGGGAGAGAGGAGGAAGGAAGGAGAGAAGTTGGAGTTCAAAAAATTTTAGATGAATGTTAAATTGTTTTAATGTAATTGGGAAATATTTAATGAAATAAAATTTAAATGTATTTGAAAAAATGTTAAATAAAAATTTTAAAAAGAAAGACAATAAGGACCTCAATTAGTGTGGTGGCTGTATGAGTAGAGAGAAGGGAATGGTCACAAAATAGGTTGTGGAGATAAATTTGACAAGATTTAGCAACCAGTTGGTTGGGAGGAGTAAAGGAGCAGGAAGAATCAGGGATGGCCCCATGGCTAGCAACCTCAGTAACTACAAGGAGAATGGTTCCCTAAACAGAAATAGGGAAGTTTGGGAAGAGAGGGGAGGGGGTTCATAGAATCACTGATTTAGAGCTAATGGGGATCTTAGAGGTCACCTCGTTCAACTCCCACGCTTTACAGGTGAGGAAACTGAGGTCTGTAGAGGCTAAGTGAGTTTTGCAAGGTCACATGGAGAGTAACTGAGCTTAGGTTTGACTCTAAATGACCAATTCTAGGTGTGATTATTGAGGCTGGGAAGATACACACTTAGGAAAAGTAGAAGGAAGTACTATATTATGGTGGGTAGTAAGCATGTGTCCACAGAGAGTTGAAACAAATCAGTAGAGTAGAGCAAAACCACCTAAGCATGCAGTTAGTGGAACTTTGTTCCATTTCATTCTTTTCCAGGGTCTTGCCTGGTCCATTGCCTCCCCATGATGTGGAGATGACCCTGACTCATCAAAGACGTTGTACAAGCTGTAGCAAGGCCTACTAAACTAGAAAAGTTTCAGGTACAGACCCGTGATAGGCCCTACAGGTCAGATCCAAAGATCCATCCTAGCCAACTTCAGAGCCTCTTTACAAACACAATCAAGTGATGTTTTTTGTGTAATTGTTATTTATTTATTGAAACCATCTATTAAAGTATGGAGGGGTTGTGATCTGTATTGGAAAGAATAGGTCAGTGAAGATCAGTGAAAGATCATTGAAATCACAGATATTTTGAAGTAAGAAATTATTTTTATGGAGTTCATTAGACTGAGAAATGGTATATAATAAAAAGAGATAGCTTTGGAAATTACTTCAAGGAGCTATAATTTTATGAGAATATGGACTACCTCCAAAGCATATTATAGCCACTGTGAATGTTAAACTTTGCTAGATGCTGTGGCCAAAAACAAAACAAAAAGGTTCATCTACTTTTCACCATTTTGAGCCTCTCTGAACTTGGGCAGTCTAATGGTTAGACAACAGACTTACATATTTGAAGCCTTTCCAACTTGGCAGGATGGATTTGTTAGAGCTGATGTTCTGCTGGCATGGTCTTCAATAAGCCAGTTGCCACAAAAAGATGTTGAAGTAAAATTTAGTGGAGTAACTTTAGAAATGGTCCAAATAAATTATTAATTAATACAAATTCATCTAAACTTACTAATGTGAAAAATATAATGAGTATCAAGGAAAACTAGAGTCATTATGTCCTTAAATCCTCATGTCAAGAAGAATGACTCTGGTTTTAACCCAGTATGGCCATTCTTATACTCATGAGGCTGTGCAGCTTTGGTTTTCTTCCTTGTGTGAGGTAGTTAATTTTGTTCTGAGGTCATAAACGAATTATATTGTATTGCATGCAATAAAGGAAACTGTTGAGAGACTTGTGCAAATCCATCACCGTTCACTGAAAAACAGCTCAAAAGACATGTCTTACTAAATGGGAGCTTTAGTCCCATTTTATAGATGAGGCATTTCTTCATATATGAATAATAGCAATATTAACAAAGTCCTGAACTGAGTGCTATCAAAGTGGGGGGAGGGGGGGTTTGAGGAAAAACTCCTGAGATGAGCTGTAGCTGAGCTTCTTAGAGAATTCTGCAGTCAAACAGCAATACTCTTCCACTTCCATCTTCCCTCTCCATTTCAACCATTCTAATTAAGCCCCTCTAGGGTGGTTCTAGTGATGGAACCCAAATCAAGATTCAGGAATCTGAAGGAACTGGGTAAAGGTGATGTTTAAATAACAAAGGCAAAGGTATCCGTTCTGTCTCATCTATAACTCTTGCAGATTCAGAATTTGATTTCTAGCACTATATTAATTAAAATTCTACTACAGCAATATAATTTTGATGTCTACTGTGGAATATGTTGTAATGGAATTATACCAATCAAAACTAAATCTACTTTGGTGAGAGAAAATAATTATGTATTACATTACAACTCCAAATATAAATTAATTTCTTTATCATGGATTCTGCTGTTCTTTTCTGTTAGAGCAGACAAAATAGGATTGGCTTTATGAGTCTATATGGCTATTCCCACCTTACCACATTCCTAAATGTCCTCTTAACTTCTTTAGCGTCAGGACTTTGTCTCTTATTTCCTTTCTACCTCCCCATAACTGTACTACACAGAAGTTCAATAAACTTTGATATGGCACCTAATGCTGGATGAGGTTTTAATTCATTCTGTTCTCTAGCCCTACCTCTTTTGTCTATCAGGAGGTCCTCTGCTGGGGGAGAGATGAAGCACTATTATACTCTACCCTTGACCACCCACATAGTGGAAAGCAAGCTAAGTCCTTTCTGGTGGACGGAAATTAATTCTACCTTTATTTACTTCTGTTGAACAGAACAACAAGACTTAAGCCAAGGCTGGGAAGAGAGGGAGTAGCCAAAGATTATTTGTGATTTTGAGGTATGTTTCCAGAAAAATCATTGATATTTTTCTGATTTTTTTTCTTTCTTGTTCCTCTTTCAGATTGATTCATGGTGCAAAGATAATAGCTATGTGATTGCTGGTTATTATCAAGCTAATGAACGTGTAAAGGATGCCAGGTATGTCCATGCAAAATCTCTGTTGCCCACTTTGTAATCTGCCAGAACACATCATTAAACATATCATCTCTGGCAGAAGGACTCGTTCTTGATAATTTTTTTTTTTTTTGGTAGTACTAGGATGTGGAATCTGTGTATCAAAGATTTCTCCTTTAATCTAACCATTTTTCCAAGACTAATACAATTGAATTCTCAGTTATTTACTTTAATGTTGGTCACATGGACAATTCAAAAAGAAATTCTAAAATAATTTATGTTTGACTTTGGAATCCGTATTTGTGTCAGATTTTAGCATGAGCATACCTCATGATTAGGAAATTCATGTCAGTGAACATACTACCTCAAACTTGTCCTGGAGGCGCAGGAAATCTCTCCTACTTCACTTCTTCTCTATTTCCTATTCCAAGCAAGGTACACGTTGGGTTTGAACCCTGTTGGAAATTTGTGGATTTTTTTATCTTGCTGCTTTCTTTGTAAGGTCAACTCCTAGTTATTTTCTCTTAGCTTGGCATGAAAGGCAAAGTCAAGAACTTTACCCTACACTGTTGCTAATGAAGTTTGACCATCTGACAATATGGATAAAGTTACCTCTCAGGCTCTCAGATTGAATAGAACTGACTTTCTTCTAAACTAATATGTGCTTAATTCACATTTTCCCTGGGAAGATAAGAGATAATGACATGCTGTGGTTTCAAAGGTCTAGAATTGAAACACCCTACACAAGTGATTAAGATGGGCTTATTAATTAGCTTTTTTGTGATTAGATCCCACCAACAATTTGTCCATGAGCTTTTTCATTTATAAAAAACCAACTGACCATATGGAAAAGCACTTAAAATTTTATATATTTTTATTCTAAATGGTTTCCTTGAAATAGGTGATGTAAGGAGGCAAAATAATCCAAGAAATTATATTTTAAGACATTTTTCTCCTATTAAAAAGCATTTGTTACTCTCGACCATCCCAACCACTTAAAAACTGTTTAACTACTTTGTTTCCACGGAAACCATGTCTGGGCTTTCAGCTGATATCTGTGACTGTTTCTTCACAGACTTCTTAGACACTTATTCTTTCTCATTTCTAGTCAAAAGTCTTTTACCCACTTTTTTTAACCCACTCTCAACCTTTATTCTCTTCTATATAGTTCATCCCATTCACTATTTAATAACTACTACTAATATTAATAATAATAATAATAATCACTAGTATTCATATAGCACTTTAAGATTTGCAAAGCACTTTACAAATATTAACTCATTTTACTCTCAAAATAACCCTAGGAGGTAGGGACCTTTAGTCCCATTTTATAGATGAGGAAACTGAGACAGATAGATGTTAAGTGATTTGCCCAAGGTCACCCAGCTCATGAGTAACTCAGGCTGAATTTGAAACTAGGTCGTCTTGAGTTTGGAGGCAGCTAGGTGGCTCGGTGGATAGAGGATTGGGCCTAGAGTCAGGAAAGACCTAAGATCAAATTCAGCCTCAAACACCTAGTAGGCTTTGTGACCCTGGACAAGTCACTTTACTTCTGTTTGCCTTACTCCACTGGAGAAGGAAATGGCAAGCCACTCCAGTATCCTTGCCAAGAAAACCCCTCGGACAGTACTGGCGTGCTGTGGTGCACGGGGTCACAAAGAGTCAGGCATGACTGAACAACAACAATTTTCTGAATTTAGCTCGAGGACTCTATCTGCTGCCCCAGTGAGCTGCTTTGATGACTTTAAAATATATGTCAAATGTGATCTCTCGCCCTTCCAGGTCCATAGGTCCATTTCTCTAGGAGTGCACTACACTATAAAGTGCTTAGTAGATGTTTGTTGAATGAATGAGCTTACATATTATCACCCCAGGGAGGTGTCTCAGCAGCATCTAAAATCTAACATGAAAATTGGAGACACACCATTTTTTAAAAAATTCCTTTCACACTTCCCTACAGTTTGAATTCCCTCAACCTTGAAACCTTGGAATTGTTTGAGACTGCTGTCTGCCCGTTTCTTTCCTTGGTCCTGCTGGCTCTACTTTAGCATTGTCTCTCAAGTTCGACTTTTCCTTTCCATTTCCATGCATGCAGTCAACACTAAGTTTCCATTTCCAAAAAATGGCAGAAGGTGAATACAATATTTACAATTTGGCCCGGGTCAAAAACATTTTGCTCTATGGTTTTATTGGCATATGTCACTTCTTAACAGCCATAACACAAATTAACTAGAAATGCTTTGTTTTTCTTCTACAGTCCGAACCAGGTTGCTGAGAAGGTGGCTTCCAGAATTGCAGAGGGCTTCAATGACACTGCACTCATCATGGTATCATACATGTTACTGTCTTTCTTCCACCAGACTTATGGAGTTCATATTAAACGGTGCCTTTGGCTAACATCTTGCACTGTCATATGACACAAGGTCCCATTTATACTGAAGGCAGTTTGAATCTTTTTTTTTTTCTTTCACTTATACCTCTGATTCTTTGGCTGTACCTCTACTCCGCCCTTTAAGTTGTATTACCAAAAGAAACATAAGATATATGTAGACAGAAAAATCTTTGAAATGAGAGCAGGCAGTACAGTGTGTTGTCCAGGAGAAGTGAGAGAAGGAATGCCTTGGAGAACCTGGAGGCAAAGCTAGATTCCATCAAGAGCCCTGTTCTGCAGTTCTGATTCCGAAGGAGAATTGTTGGTTTATTTGACAGTTGCGTAGAATAATTGTAACGAAAGACCTCCTGTGAAAAAATGTCTTCTCTTACGTAAATATTCTCTGTGTAATATGCTGTTTATCTTGGGAAAGATTACATTGTGTGCCCATGAATCAGATACTCAGCATCAGCACCTTTTAGGGGGAACATTTTTGCCTTTGGACCTTGTTTATTCTGCTGCCATAAGAGTTAATAAGCGATACCAGAAGTCTTAATGAATGGTGACAGCTGCTTTTTAGAATTACACAGTTTGTTTTGAATGTGTGCTCACACTAGTGTTTTTGTTCTTGTGCCTTAGGTAGACAACACGAAGTTTACAATGGAGTGCATAGAACCTACGGTTCATGTGTATGAGCATCATGAAAACAAATGGCGGTGCAGAGGTCCCCACTAGTGAGTTCTTCGTGTTACCTCATTAATGAATTATTTTTAAACTGTTCACTATGATTCAGGATGTTTGCCACTCAGCCCATAGAAGTTTCAAGGTGTCCTAATTCCCAGAACAATAAAAATGTCAACTCAGGGCGTAACTCTCTTAGGATATTTTATTTAATATCCTCTTTTGCCAAAATAAAAAATAAAAAAAAGCGTAGTGGAAAGAGCCGAAGGTAGCGTCCACAGACCTAAGGTCGAGTCCCAGTTATGACACTGACACAGACCAGCCGCATGACTTGGGCACTCGCTTCATGTCTCAAATCCTCCCAGTCTGTAAAATGCAGGTGATCATCACGCTACCTGCCTCCCAGAGTCGTTTCCTAGAAAGCGCTTTGTAAATCTGGAAGCATTATATAAACGTGAGTAGTTATTACTACACGGGTGTGTCTTCAATACTCCCATACCCCCAAACTTACCCCAAAGATCCCTTCCCCGCATCATCATCCTGTTTCCATTTATAGTCTTCTAACATGAATCATACAAAAATAGTGTTTATATCTTTAACCTTCTCATTTCAACACTTCTGATTGGTCCATTTTGCTCACTACCATCAATTGGATTTTTTCTGTCTTGTATTTTGTTGAGCAGTTTCTTTTTCAGTGATCATCTAAATTAGAGGTATCAAATATGCAGCCCAGAACTCTCCCAAGTGTAGCCCAAATCAGATTAAAATGTAATTGGGAAATATGTAACAAAATAAAATACAGTAAAACACAGCTAATGTTAATATGTGTTTTTCTAAGTCACTTTGCAACCTCAGGGCTGCCTCTATATCATCTAGTGGCCCCTGTTTCTATTAGACTTTGACACCACCATTCTTAAATCAACATTTTCAGGTTCTGACTTAAAATTTGTTAGCTCATTCTTCGGATCCTATGTGTACTATCTCAGTTCCCTGTTCTTTAGCTTTTCAGAGCAAGGATTTAACTTTCTGCAGCCATGTTACTATGAAACATCTTCACATATGTGCATTTGACCTTTAGGTTCTCCATATTAGTCATTGCCATCTGCTTTTCATATCGTTTTGCTTGTGGCTGTTTTTCTCCATCTCCTTTAATTGAAAGACGCAATGAAGTTTATTTTCATTTTGAAAAGCCTATTAATTCCGAATTGTTTGACGTTGTAGTGATTATTGTGAAGACTGGCCAGAAGCCCAGAGGATCTCAGCATCTCTCTTGGACAGCAGGTCCTATGAAACCCTTGTGGATTTTGATAACCACCTGGACGACATCCGAAATGATTGGACAAATCCAGAGATCAATAAAGCTGTTCTACACCTATGTTAGGGAGGGATTCCACTGACTGATTTATGGGCATTTCCACTACACTGAAGAGGAAAAAAGAAATATTTTTAAATGTAAATAGAATAATATCTCATACCTTGTGTGGAGAGGCAACAGTTTTAAGAAATGGCATGTGGCTCAAACGAGGCAGTGTCTATGTGGCCATCTTTTTAAAGCAAAGATCTCTAGAGGAGACGCAAGCTATGGAGTCTAGCTGTCCCTGTGGATTCTTTCCCAGTTGTCTGTTGCTCTGACCTTCAAAATCAAAACTATTTCTGCTTGTCCAAGATTGTTCCTATTAAACGATTTTAACTAACCTTTTATAATCTTGAGAGAATACTTTTTAAGACTTATGAACTATCTTTCCGAAAACAACAAATCTTTATCCTTTAATGAGTGTTTGGGGAGTTTTATTTCTGAGTCCATGCTGTAAATACAGTCTTAGGACCAGGTCTAAAAATCTACAGCAAACACCTTGGTACCAAACCAACTACCCCAGACAACTACTTGTGCAAATAGGCATCTCTGTTAGAGCAGCTGAATTCGTTTGGGGTTATTAGACTGTACTACTTAAAGCAATATTGTGCTCAAAAAGCCAAAGTGGGAAGAAAACTGCTGCTGTCTCAGCAGTATTTATGGTTGAGGGCAGAACCAAGCGCTCTGTCGCAAGAGCTCTTCTTAGAGCCCACACAGCATCGTAGTCGTGACCAACCAGAAGGCTCTAAAACCCAGAAATAGAGGGAGGGGAGACAGGATTGCGCTAGGATTCGATGCAGATGCAGTCTCTGCTTTTTGGAAAACAGGAATCATTCCTAGTTCTTGACTCACTTGCATGATCATCCAAATAGTTCTAAAAGATATCTTCAAAATAATTGCCATTGCTTTTGTATTTAGAGCAAAAACTCTTTCGTTCATAAAGCTGAACAAGAGAATGAATGTATCTTTTTTATCAGTACATTTGGTGGTTTCTAACAAAATCTTAACAAAAGGGATGGGAAACTTTATAGCACCATTGCGTTTGTTGTTCCTTTTTCTATTAATTATTTTGTACAGTGTTCAGTGTACTGTACCTTTCCTGCTGTCTCTTTCCTCTTGCTACATTGAGAAAACTTGTAACAATTGGCTGAACCTAGCAGTCTTGAAAAGGGTTCACTTTCTAGCATTCGGTATTTTACTCTAACCAGTAAAAGTCATTTATTTGGACCATCATATTCAAGAAGTATGCTTTAGTCCTTGACCTCATGGGCTTATAGATTTAGACTGAGAGAGAACCTTAGGAATTTGCTAGTGTGTAGCCTCATTTTTGCAAATGAGGAAACTGAGGCCTAGGAAGGTTAACCTACTTGCCAAAGGTCACATGGGTAGTAAGTGGCAAACCCAGCTCCTTGGAGCCCATATCCAATGGTCTTTCTGTGCACCATGCTTTTGCAGACGATAATTCCCCCTTTCTGTTCCCTTTCCTCAGCTTTCTTCTCACAGCTTTTTCATTCCACAAATATTGTCTTTCTATACAGTGCATTGTGGTTACAAAGCCCTCTGCATGCATTATCTTCTTTGAGACTCACAACCACCTGTGAGGTCGGCTGAGCAGTTGGCATGACCCTCAGTTTGTAAATGAAGAAACAGGCTCTCAAAGAGGTTGAGTGATTTATTTACCCAAGCTCACACAGTTATTAAGTATAGCAGTGTTGGGACTCAAACCTGATCTCTTGACTCCTTGTCCAGTGTTCTTTCCATTACACCATGCTACCTCTCTAAAGCCATGAAATAAACACATTTCATGTGGGGAACAAATATAAAATGTCTGGACACAAAGGAAAGATATCAGCGAACTTAATCTTTGTGCTCCCATGCACTCGGATGCCAAGAATACCACAAGTGGGAAATATTAGATGACTCTGTTCCTAGTAGAATTGTTTTTTTTTCAAAAAGAAAAGAAAAATCACCATGTAAAATTTGTTTTCTGGGGGACTAGAATAGCAGTGTGTGCTACAGGTCAAGGCTAAAACGAATTGACAGACCTGTCTGTTTTGACCATTTTTGTTTTTACATGAGATTTGCTTTGAAGGCATGTACATAAAAGCTAATGTGATAAATATTATAATCTTTTTTTTTTCCATGAGGGTCGATATGTTAAAAGATAAATAGAAAAGAGATAAATTACAACTACACAAAAAAGCAAAAACAATAAAAGGTTTGACTTTTATGTTTATGATTGCCCTACAAAGTCAAAAAAATTAAACACTAAAGAGTTGGAAAGTTTATAGTAATACCACTACTGCTCCTGAATGGTATGGGAAAAAGAGAGACAATTTTCTTGGAACATGAAAAATTGCCTTGTAGCAATTAGGAGTGTCCAAGAATGCATTAACCATCTGCAAGGTAGTATCACCATAGGTGTTCAATCAGAGAGCAATTGATGATGTTAAAGATAGTGTAGAGAGGAACCTGGAAGGGAGGAATGGCAGTAGTTGAGATAGGTGTGGTCTAAGGGAAAGAGCTCCAGGTTGGGACTCCAAAGCCCCAGGACTGCTCTTAACTAACCTTGTGATCCAGGGCAAGACTCTTCTGATGTCCTGGCCTTGGTTTTGCACATCTGTCATGGCAAGTCTTGGACTAGATGGCATGAGGTCTCTTCCATCTCTACCACTCAGATTTTGTGAGGCCTCTGAGAATCCCTTCCAACCCCGATCCTGTGATTTTCCTAAAAAATAATATTAGTTCTATTCAGAATAGAGCTGTACACATCTACAGTTGGGAAATCTGCTGGTTTTATTCTCTGCAAAATTATTTCTACTTATTCTGTCTGTCTTTAAGCCTGCCTCAGCTTTTTCCTTTTGCATAATTAACTTTGATTTGACTTACAGCTTACTTTTCAAATAGATTAATAGTATTGTGAAAAACTGTCTCCAAATGCAATTTCTGAATTTATTACCTAGGCTTTTTTGCATTGCTCTTTAAAAAGCAACTTAATTGGCTTTTGAAAATAACAATCCCTCTTATTTGGGCTCCTGAAGTCATAATCTCCTATGGCATCAGAACTGTTACTATGGTGGCTCTTTGTGACATGGGGTAAAGAAAATGAGAAAAATGGCAAGATCACGTGGATTCATGGGTGGATAAACAGATCCTCAGATGTTATTCATGATTATAGGAAAGGGAGTTGACTTTAAAACTAGATTTCCAGTTTACTAATAGACATTTCTTGAGGCTCTCTATTAGATCTTACTCCCTTTTAAGCACTGCAAAACATTTCAGTAAAAACAAAACTGGCAGAAAATGCTGCATGTGTTATTCTTGCCAAATCCTCAGTGTGTGTATATGTTTGTGATTTGTTACCTTAACCTAACCTCATTTCCGTACCCTTTCAGAAGCCAAAGGATGCCTTTTTTAATCCTCAAGATTTTGACTTGTTCCTCCTTCAAACCTTGATTATTACTTTGAAGTATATGTGAAATGTAATCAAACATTATTTCTTGGAAATAGAGGTTGAGTGTTATGAGATTGTTCTTCTGTAGAACTATGGTAAAAAGAAAATTCCGGGAGGGGTGCCTTTTCATTACTCACACAGTGAAATCCTGCTCTAGGTAACATCAGACTTACCAGTGAAATGAAATGTGGAACTGCCAAGTCACATTGCCATATGCTTGTCGGCATTTGGCATTGTCTTTAGCTACATTCCTTCGGAAGTCAAAGGGAACTGTTCTAAGCTGAGCCATGAATGGTCATTGGGAAATGCTTGCAGTGCTTTGCAAGAAACCTTGGACTTGGACTTTTGTTAACATCTTGTAAAGCAAAAATGTGCTCCTCTGTACAGTAAAGTACACTACTATTTAACAACACGACACTGTGTAACAATAAATAACTTTGTTCCCTTGATGAATCTGAATGTAATTACATTTTTAAAGCATTAGCTCCATAGGGGAGGTGCTGTGGGGGAAGCCAAGATGTAGTGCCTGCTCTCAAGAATCTTACAATTAACTTGGGGAGCTAGTAGGGGAAACTGGATTTAAAATCAAAGGACCAAGATTCAAATCTCAGCTCTGCTGTTTATTGCCTGTGTGACCTTGGGCAGCTCACTTCCCTTTTCTGTGCCTCATTTGGACCATTCACCTCCAAGGTCCCTTCTGATTCTAAATTTATGATTTCATCCCTGAGATGTGGAGAAGGTGGGTCCTAGGCTGGCCTTAAGAGATAGCTGGAGAGACGGAAGGGAACTGTGGGAAGCCAGAACATGGGGGCAGAAGTAGGCACTGTGTGTTTAGGAGTTAGTGAGTAGACAGACCTACCCAACTGAATCAAGAGCCTCGGTAGAGAGGAACAGAAGAAAAGGTTGCAGGGGTCATTTGGGTCCTGATCAAATCCTTTGTCCTTGCTCCAGTTTCATTCACCTTTCCCCCTCATTACCTGGTCTCCCTAGCCATTACTGACCAACTTGACCACCTTCACCTTTGTAGGAGCTGTGATCTGCTGGTTACCACTGGCACCTTAGCCATGGGGTCAGCTGTGACTGGTTGGGGGTGGAGTGAAGTCTGCAGCAGCAGCTCTCATTTATACAGGTTGTTAGGATCAGATGAGAGCATATTTGTAAAGCACTTAGCTCAGTGCCTGTTGCTAGAGCGACACTCTAAATTTACAGATGAGGAAACTGACGCCCTGTGAGAGGAAGTGATTTGCCCAAGGGGACAGTACAAAAACCAAGCGAGACTAGGGGTAAGATGGAGGTCCCTCCTCAATCCAGTCGTGTCCTGGAGCTTGTGCACTGTGTGTGTGCAGTTTGGGTTGGGTCACAGGCTTTTTGTCCTCTGAATATAAAATGCGAGTGAAAGTTCTGGCCCAACTCGGGGACAAGGTAGAGAAAGAAACATTCAAGGACATTTTCAGGTGTGTTGTTACAACATTTTATTTGTGTTGAACTCTTTGTGACCCCAGTTGAGGTTCTCTTGGCAAAGATACTGGAGTGGTTTGCTATTTCCTTCTCCAGCTCATTTGACAGATGAGGAAACTGAGGCAAACAGGTGAAGTGACTTGCCCAGGGTCACACAGCTGGTAAGTGTCTGACACTAGATTTGAACTGCCCAGCACTCTATCCATAGCACCACCTAGCTGCCCCATATTTTCAAGTATGTGACATTAAATGAGGTAAACTAGCCAGAATGTGAACTGAGGACCTCTGGCTAGATCCAGAGTTCTTTCCACTGTGCCACAAACAAAATTAAGACCTGCACATTTTCAATCCCTAAATCCCTGTCACCAAATCTTACGCTAGTAAAAATGCTGAAGGGTGAAATAAGTGGAGCTAAATCGAACTTGTATGGATCAGCTTCCAAGACCTAGCACTGACTGTCTGTGTGACCTCAGACCAAGTCAGTCAGTCAAAAAATATTTATTAAACACCATGTGCCTGCCATTCGCTGTGCTAAGCACTGGGCATGCAAAGAAAAGCAAAAATACTCTGCCTGCATTCAAGGGGTTCACATTCTAATAGGACTACACAAGTGAAAACTGGTCACATGAGATATATATACACTGCAAATGAAGGTAGTCTCTGAGGGGGTTTCATGGTGAAGGGAGAGCATTCCAAGCATGGGAGAGAGCCAGTGAAAAGAAACAGAGCCTTGAGTTGTCATGTCATGTTGGAAGAACAGCAAGGACGCTAATTGGTATCACTGGGTTAGAGAGTGCTTGGAGAGGAGTGAAGTGTAAGAAGACGGGAAAATAGGAAGGGACCAGGTCCTAACGGCTTTGAGTGACAAAGGATTTTGTTATAGTTGTCCTCTAAGTAACAAGGTGCCATAGATTAATGAGTTGGGGGGGGGGGGTGGCAACACAGACCTGCACTTTAAGAAAATCCCTTGTCAAGGGAATGGTGAACCAGAGTGAGGAGAGATGAGACAGACCCCGACCAGCAGGTTATTGCAGTAGTCCAGATAGGTGATGAGGGCTGGGTGAGTGCACAGATGGGAACACCCATGAGAGATGTTGTGAAGGTAGCAACAATAAGATTTGGCAACAGCTTGAATAGGTGGAGTGCAGGCCAGGAATCAAAGATGGCACCAAGGTTGTGAATCTGTGTGAATGAGAAGACAGCAGTAGTGCCCTCTACATTAATGAGGAAAGTTGGGAAGAGAGGAGGGTTTGGAGGGACAGATGATGAGTTCTGGTTTTGGACATGTAGAAAGGAGTTCAAAAGGTACTTGGTGATGCAAGACTAAAGGTTAGGGCTGGATAAACAAATACAGATCATCAGTTTAGGGATGAGAATCGAATCCCAGGGAGCTGATGAGATCGCCAAGGAGATGACGAAGTAGGAGATTCAAAGGCCCAGGACCGAAGCCAAGGCGACACCTACAGTTAATGGGTGTGACCTGACTGAAGAACCTGCAAAGGAGACTGAAAAGGATGACTCCGACAGGTAGGAGGAGAACCTGGAAAGGGCTGAGTCACAGAAATCTAGAGAGGAGAAGGTTATCACCAATGTCAGAAGCTCACTGGGAGCTCAAGAAACAGGCAACTTCCATTGAACGTTGAGGTCAGAAGAAGACTGCAGAGAGTTTCAAAGAGAGTGAGAGGAGAGAAGTAGGGATACTGAACATAAATGGCTTTCTCAAGGAGTTTAGCTGGGAAGGAAGGAAGGAAGGAAGGAAGGAAGGGAGAGAGTAAAATAGCAAGGAAGGGAAGGAAGGAAGGAAGGAGGGAGAAAGAAAAAAAGAGGAAAAAGGGAGGGAGGAAGGAGGAAGAAAGGAAGGAAAGTGTATTAAGCACTTACTATGTGCTAAGCACTTTACAACTATTATCTCATCTGATCCTTAAAACCCTGGGAAGTAGGTGCTATTATTATCCCCATTTTTCAATTGAGGAAACTAAGGCAGATAAGATGACGGTAATGGAGATGGTGGGATCAAATGAGAGTTTTTAAGATGAGGGAGACATGGGCATGTTTGCAGGTAGCCGGGAAAGAACATAGAGAAATTCAAGATGAAAGGGTAGGATGAAGTGGATCCAATGTGCATGGGGGGGAGGGTGTTCCTTGACAAAAATGGTCGCCTCTTTATGTGAGACACAGTAAAGGGGGGTGTCTGATGGGAGATGAAAAGAGGAGAAGAGGAACCTCTCTGCAAATGGCCTCTTTTTTTTTCTGAGTGTGAGGCAAAGTCTTTACCCCTTTTTTGCCTCAGTTTTTTTTTTTTACCAGTAAAATGAGAGGAAGGAGAAAAGGAACAAGAATCTATTAAGCACCTACTATGTACCTTGCCCTGTACTAAGTGCTTTACAAGTGTTATTCCAATAATACTTGAGATAAATTTAGCCAATCCAATAGAAGATTGGTATTTTCCAATTCTAAAATTCCATGATTCTAACAATCACTTATTTAGCAATCTAAGGCAGATACAAAGATAAATCAAATATGGTTCCTACCTCCTTGAATCAGCCAATTCAATCGATAATAGCTTCGACAATAATAACGTGTTTACACTGCTCTGTCAAGTTTACCAAGTTTACTTTGTTCACAAAAGTAAATTGTGGTAGACAATGAGCAAATTAGCCCCCTTTTACAGCTGAGGTAGCTGAGAAAAGTTAAGTGAGTTTTTCCAGGGGAAACACAAGTAATGAATGTAGACCCAGGATTCACACGCAATACTTCTGACTCTAAACCTCTCACATGGTACTTGACAATTTAAAGAAGTTTGATTTACTTACAGACCAGACTACTCTATCCTAGTGGCTTTCCCCTACCTGATTCAAGCTACCAGTCCAAAAACCAAGAGAAACTGGATGTTAGAGGTCCCCAATCAATTCAAGCTATATCCTGGAGCTCACAAACTGTGTGATTTTGGACAGATCTTTGGACAGATCATTTGATCCTTCTGCCCTTCTGTTTCTTTGGCTACAAAATGGGGATAAAAGTATTGACTCAACTCAGGAATATTGTGGAGAAAGGAAATGAGTCTACAACATTTTTAAGTATAAGCTATTAAATAATGTAAAATCCCCAGGTGGTGGGGCAGTAGGCCAAGAAGGTACCTAATTGAGTAGGAGCAGTTCTTGCCAAGTACAATGGTTGCCACGGGCAACAAGGGGATTTCAGTTCAAGCCTACCCCTTCCCACAGGGTGATGTTATATTGAGTGGCCCATTTCAAGAGCTTAACTGAGTATTTTATTGCATACCTCTACATTTGTTTGCAAGTTGTCTCTTCCATCAGAATGTCAGCTCCTTGAGGTCAAGGACTATCTTTTGCCTCTTTTTGCATGCCCATCGATATCCTCATTTTATAGCCAAAGACAGAAGGGCAGAAAAACCAAACGATCTGAGCAAAATCACAGTTTGTGAGCTCCAGGATATAGCTTGAATTGATCAGGGACCTCTGACATCCAGTCTCGCTTGATTTTTGGACTGGTAGCTTGAATCAGGTAGGGGAAAGTCACTCGAATAGAGAAATCTGGTCTGGTTAACTTGCTAAGTTTATGTGGTAGTAGTATATAAATAAGAATAGCATGTAAGAAATCTACAAACACAATCTCTGCAAAATTATTAAACAGGGTTTGACTTAGCCATCCTACCTAGTCTGGCATTAATCTAAGTCAAAAGATTCAAGAATACTTGTAATGACCAGAGTGGCTATTAGTAATAACCATTATCAAGTTCCAGAGAAAAAGAGCTTTCTCAGTTACCCAGTCAATATAAGTGTAGTGTTGATTTAATCACAACAATGATAATAGAATTATAAAATGACAGACTCAGGCTTAAAAAGGACCCCGAGAGGCGATGGAGTTCAACCCCCTCATTTTATAGATAAGGATACATTAAGTCAATGTTCAAGCTGGAAGGGGCATTAAAACATGGAAACTCAAAGCTAGAAAAGACATTAGAGAATTAAATA